TCCATTTTTTTTTTCATTTAATAAAATTATTATTAAGAATCTTATTAAAAATATATTACTGTCTCTCACCAGATTCGGACTCGTGGAACATGGAGGTTGTCAACACTATTAGCACAGCGTCATTACCTTCTACTTACGTAACGCTACCCAGATCGTCCCGGGGTTGTAGCCATGACAACTACCAGGTAAGGGGTAATGGGGGAGGGGAGAGGGAGGGGGGAGGGGAAAGGGAGGGGGGAGGAAGAGAAAGGGAGAGGGAGAGGGTTGGGGGAAGGAGAGAGGGGGAGGAGGGAGGAAGAGAGAGGGGAAGAGGTAATGGGACAGGGAGAGGGAGGGGAGGAAGAGAGAGGGGAAGAGGAAGGGGAGAGGGAGAGGGTTGGAGGAGGAAGAGGGAGGGGGGAGGAAGAGAGAGGGGAAGATGTAATGGGGGAGAGGGAGAGGGAGGGAGAGGAAGAGGGTTGGGGAAGGAAAGAGAGGGGGAGAAGGGAGGAAGAGAGAGGGGAAGAGGAATGGGCGAGGGAGAGGGAGGGGGGAGGAAGAGAGAGGGGAAGAGGAATGGGAGAGGGAGAGGGTTGGGGGAAGGAGAGAGGGGGGAGGAGGGAGGAAAAGAGAGGGGAAGAGAAAGGGGAGAGGGAGAGGGTTGGGGGAATGATAGAGGGGGAGTGGGAGGAAGGAGGAAGAGAGAGGGGAAGAGGAAGGGGAGAGGGAGAGGTTTGGGGGAAGGAGAGAGAGGAGAGAGGGAGGGGGGAGGAAGAGGAATGGGAGAGGGAGAGGGTTGGGGGGGGGAGGAGAGAGAAGAGAGAGGGAGGGGGGAGGAAGAGAGAGGGAAAGAGGAATGGGAGAGGGAGAGAAGGAGGAAGGAGAAGGATGGAGGAGAGGGATGGGGGAGAGAGGGGGAGGATAAGGGAGAGAGAAAGAAAGGAGAGAGATATAGGAGTAAGATAGTGGGGAGAGAGAAAGGTTAAAATGATGTTGGGGGAGAGACAGGGAATAAGATTGGGGGAGGGAGAAAAAGGGAAGAGCGGAAGGACGGGAAAGAGATGGGGGAGGGATAGCGGAGGAGGAGGAGGAAGGAGAGGGATAGGGGAAAGGGGAGAAGGATGGGGAGAGAGAGAAGGAGAGAGGGGGGAGAGGGATAAGGGAAGGAGAGAGAGGGAGAGGGGAGGGAGATTGAAAGAGAAGTAGAGAGAGAATAGGGAAAGAGGGGCAGGAGGGGAGAAAGGGAGGTAGGAAGAGGCTGAAAGAAAACTGTAAGGAAAGGGAATGAAACGAGATAGAGAAGGGAGAAAAGGTAAAAAGACTGAATGGTGAAGCGAAGTGGAAGGAGAAGAAAAGAGGGGAAAGTGGGAGGATCACGATGTAAGGGGATAGGGCAGGGGAGAGATAGTGAAGTCACAATAGACTGAGAGGTTTTCCTAAGGTGAATTACACAGTCTATGCCAATCGCTTGCATCCAGGAGCACTTAGCCGAGGGACCCTTCTAGTCAAGATCCAAAAAGAATGTGCGACATAAAATCTAAACATGATAGAAATAAGCATTTGGTAACATGTCTCGGCGAATATATCATTATGTGATTATATTTACAGAAGTGACAGCGTAAATACATTAGTTAATAATTCATGTTGCAACGCGATTACTTGATATTAGTTATATTAGCCCAGGACAAAAGATTTAGATATACGCACGTGATATGCCTTTGACATAGGATTATACTTGTTCACCCAAAATACGGTATACTGAAAAGCTTCCTTATTTCGCAAGAAATGGCCAAAAGACTCGCCATTCTAGAGTAACAGCGATGGCGCATCGTATAAAAGTTATATGCTGTGTGTCGCGTGGACCCAGTCAGGAACCCTGTATGCGAAGTGCTCCTGTATACTAGCACATTTTTCCCTACAAATATCTTGGCACAGACAATATCAAAGAGGATGTTCAATGAATTTTCCTCAGTGTATAAATGCTTTTATGAACACTGAATTAGACAAAAATAGGAAGAGATATATAAAGGCCTAAGGGTCATCTATTCACGGAATCGCTCCCACACTCTAGCAGGCCTGTGGGAGTACGGACGTCCAGTACGCGGAACTGCTTTTAAGCGGGGCTGTTGCCACGCCGGGCCCCCACCCCCGCAACCCCCGCCACGTCGTGTACGCCACGCTGGACGCCAAGAGCCAGCACGCCCACTTCCCGCCCCAGCACAGCCAGCCAGCTTACCCACGCCCAGTCTCCGCCACCAACACGCCCACCCATGTGCTCCACCACCAACACCCGCCCAACACGCACGCTCTGTGCCAACCCTTAGTGGGCGGCGGGGAGGTGCACCACCACCCCCAGCAACACCATCCGGTCCCTGCACCACACCCACAGGGGAGCCACTGTCCCTGGACGACGGCCACGGCGACGCTGCCCCGACGACACTCCCTCAGGAGAGATCCGACCCCCCGCGACGCCGAGGACAGCGTCCCGCTCATGACCTCGCAGAAGGAGAGCTCGGTGTGA